TAGAGATTGGTCTCTTCGGGGGGTCTCTCCTTTTAATGATCACCATATTAATCAAAGCTCCTTCTTCATTTCCTTGTATTTTTTTCCCCTTTCTTTGTTCACCGGTGTTCCACCACGTCCAGCCACACACCAGACTAAACACCCTCTTTCTTTTCTCTGCACCCCCCACAATTCCCCCCATCCCTCTGTTCTCCTCCATAATTTCAAGGTCCTTGAAAATCAAGACATATTTTAGGAGATGCAATTAGGTTATTTCTGCTCCAGTTGCCGTCATGTTCCACAAAAAAATGTATTTAATTTTGTTTTGCCTAGGCTGCACTCGTCTTTTTTCTCCCTCTGTTGGTCGGTCCCACGTGGGTAGCAGGTTGGAGGAGCGCCAAGTCCTTGCACCTGTCTCTCAAAAGAGAGAGACACACACACACACACACATACACACACACACAGCATCATGCATTGTCAAGGTTATAAGATAGCATAGCAGCTTCCCAGTAGGAGGGAGAAAGAAAGCGATGGCGGCAGAGAGGAGACACTAGGGAGGAGATTGAATAAGTACGAGAAAGGAGCACAAAGAGAGCAGACAAGTGGTTGAAAGAAAAAGAGGGGTGCTGAGAAATGGAACCTGTAATGATGGTATGGGAGACTCATGAGCACCAACTGAGGGAAATGATAGGGGGGAAAATGAGGGAGATGAAGAGAGAATACAGAGGAAGAGAGATGGCAGCCTGTGTGTCCTCCCCCATCCTTAGGCACATGCTATTCAAAGCCCCGTAATTTGTGTCATTAATTAAAAAGCTGATGGGATGGAGTTAAGGGGTTTGCACTCTGCAACTCCTCAGTTGAGAGAGAGAGACGGGGAGGGGGGGGAATATTGCAAAAAATATTGCCGCAATTCCGCCATGAATCTCTATTAGCGGCTAATGATACCATTCTGATACCTCTCAACCATTAGTGTGAAATTGGGAAGCGTTAATTATTCAAATGAGAATCCATATAGCTGCTGCTCACATGACAGGGTCACAGTCGCAAAAGGTCCCCATTGTTCGCTGCTCAGCATGTGTCTTAAACGGGAGGTGTAGACTACAATAAGTATGCAGAGCGACTTGTCAGGTGAAAATTATATTTGAAATGATGCTTTATCTGAACAAATACAGTATGCAGTGGCAATATAATTGAATTTTATAGGGTATGGTATGGCTGAACGGTAGGGTGCTTTGGAAGCGTTCTGCCTACATTATCTTCACTGTCGAGGCTGAATTATGTGCATACAAGCAAAACTCTTTTTGCATTTATTGGAAATTTTTGATTATAATGATAATTGTGTAACCATGAAAAAATATGTTCTTTTAAAAGGAAGCCGCACATGTAGGTTGCCTGTTCAGCTTATTAAATTTGGTAGTGACAGCTTGACCAATTAGGTAAGCTGCAGAATCAGCCATGTTGCCTTTTCCGGCTTTGTGTTTGGCAGGGTGAACCACACAGCAGCCAAACTGTTAGAAGCTGCATGCACACGGTTCAGTGAGTTATTGTTTTGCCCAAACCGGTTGCCAGGATTTGCCCCAACCTGGCCAAACAATGTATTCACTTAAACTATGGCGTGGTACAACACATATCTGATTGGCTGCTTCAAGAAATGTCATAAAAGCAAGCTCTTTTTCTGTATTGGGAAGTGAATGAGTAGCATTGAGGTGTCTTAGAGCAAGGCACTTAAAGCCAAACTTCTTCTAAGTGGCGAAAAGATAAGAGGGCTTGCACTGGGCTCCTTCCTTCCTTGTTGGTAAAAAATAGCCTTGTCAAATCTATCTAGATAACTGATGTACAATACCAAAACTTTTGTCAATTGGTAAGCTCAGGAGATCTTTTAATGTTTAAATTTCCCCTTGCCAATGATGACATTTCTTTCTTCTGGTTTGCTTTGGCATCCAGGGAAGGATGATTACAGCTGGTCCCTTTTTTTTTCCTCTAGGAAAATGTGCCAGACCCGTTGCGATTCTCGATGAGACATCCAACTGTCCTGCCCCTTTCAAATCCATCAAATTGGTCGTCATGTTTAAGTGGCAGTTGAAGCCACACATGCCCCTGAAGTTGCTGCAATGTTAAGAGCTTCCAGGACCTCTCCACCCTTAAACTCTGACCTGGGGGTCGTATTTTTTCACATTTGCTCAATCCCATATGTACTTTTAAATAATTTGATGGCCACTCAATGCTTATCATCTCTTATTAAAATAATTAGATCATTACCCCATTCAGTGTTTGAAAGTTGAATTCACTGAAGCACAGTGTGTTGGAGAGTGGTGTGATTACCATTAACATCATCGTCATCAGACAATTCAGTGGAGAGTGTCCATTAATTGTATTTCTGTATACCTCTCAATGAGTAGACGACAGGTGAATAGCTGCTGTTTTTGCCCTCAGTCATTAAGAAAACAGATCACGCATAGTAGAAGGAACACTGAGGGACATGCTAGACTGTGTTCAGCATATAAGCCATTAAATGATGTCTCCTGAAATATCAGGGCAAGGCTTTATCAAGAGCTTTGAAATACAGACACAGAATCATTTTTATCATGAAGAGGTAGTCCAAGGTCTATTATGTGGGATGGAGGAGGATTTAACCCTTTCTGATAGAGGTAAGAGTGGCCCTTTATTTTAAAATTTTTATTTGTTTGCATAGTTTAGTAGTTTCAGTCTTCTCAGACATCAGTGAGGGGAGTGAGAGACAGACAAGGAGAATGGAGAGAAAAGCATGAGATGAGAGAGCTAAGTGCTTTTTAGTGACTCAGTGACAGCCGTGACCAAAATCGTATTAAGGTCACAATGGGGGTGGTGGGGTGGAGCAAAGAAGCTTTTCGAAAGAATCAATTCTCCGTCTCACTCTACTTTTCCCACTGCTGCGCTTCTATCCGTGACACCTTAAACACGGATCTCTGAGGCTTGTATCGCCCTTGTATCTCAGCATTTACTGTATTTGTATTGAAACACGTGACATGAACAATGAGTGATCTGAGGGGATGACCTTGCTGCATCCGGCGACATCTTCTGGTCAAGCGAAGGGGCCACATACAGTAGCCCTGGGAAATGGCGTATTTCCTTGTCAGGGATTTCATCCGAATCCTTTACTCCCTTCTCAGACCATCTCTCCCGGCAATTGCGTCGTATACCACTTCTCACATCCCCACCGCTAACGCCTTTTTCTGTAGATCATTACCCTCCTATCGCCTCGCCACTGTTAGCGATCGCTCAATCAGAAATGCCGGGCTCCCCGTGGTCCCTGTTGTGTGGCCGTTGCTCACGGGAGGTGAAGAGGCTTCGATCGGGGACGTTTGGCTGTTTACTTTGACTTGATCTATGGGGTCCACATGCAGTTCCGAGTTATTGGCAAATTTGAGTTGCCAGTAATGGTGATTCAGATGTAACCTAGAGCTATTGTTGCCCAGGCCCAGTATGGACTTATCGCGTTTCAGTGACAGCTGGAGTGTTTGCTGTTGATGAGGTGCTGTGCTGTATCAGTGTACAATTTTATGATCTGACAAACACAGACAACTTGTTGAAAGCCTCTCTCTTGCCCATTATTTTCTCTCCTTTTGCTTTTTCCCTCGCCTGATTCAGCTCCCCCTTACGCTTTCTGTTTTTTCATTGCATTGCATTGCATTAATATTGCTCTCCTCTAATAACTTCCCCATCTTTCAAACTTTACCCCACCTGCTCCTACCCACTGACCTCCATACCTCACTCTGTTGCACTCTCCATTTGGAGGAGAGGACTCTTGTAAGCCCTGGTAACAGAGGTTAATCCTCTCTTATTAGAACCGGGATTACTGGAGGGGAAGGGACAGGACCTGCAAAATGCCTTGACTGACATAAAAGGCTTGTCCACAAGAGGAGGCAATACATATACTGTAGAGAGAGTTCAGATGTAATAACCATAGCCGTTTTTCAACAGGCTGTCAGTATACTTGTTGAGCTGTAGAATCGAAACCTTACACTTAGTTACACCTGTTGCTTTTCACTTTTAATAAAATTGGTCAAGCATGAAAACAATACTAAGTCTTGCCGGTAATCACTGCATACAAGTATATATTGTATTTTTGAAGCTCAAATGACGATGTATAATGTGAAAGTGATGACTCTTAGTGAATTATCACCCTGTCATTTAAGCATCTTTTAGCTAATTGTTTTTGGGTGTTTAGCCTGTAGCATTACAGTTTTAGTTCGCAGCTAGCTGGTGGAAATAGCATAGCATTTAGCAGCTTAAGAGCCATATATACCCACATAGGAGATGGGGGAGACCAAAACAGAGCTAAAAGGACATTGGACTTACATTTGTGAGGCGGTCACGACTTTTGTTCAGCGCTGGATATGTAAACATGGAACAGTTTGCTATCATGTTAGCAATACCAGCAGGTTCTGCTGTCCTGCATAAACAAAAAAGTAAGTTAGCAGGTTTAAATGTAGATCTCTGTCCAGACTAACTCAATATCAAGAATTATTTTCACCACTGACGGGGTCTTATAATTTAGGTATCTAAATGATAGCTTCATCAGTCTGTTGAATGACAAATTATTAGTTTAAGACTACAGCATAGTTTAGTACAAAATGTACCCAATTTGCATGTGAGGCCATTTGTTCTCCCAGTTGTACCTTTAACTCAAAAGCTTACCTGTAAGCAGCCATATGGTTGAATGATTTTATGGCTGTTGAAAAAGGCGTGTACTGTGCTATCTGTTTTACACATTCCCATCACAGAGCCATCACTGCAAAAAACATTTTGTACAATTTAAAACCTGATTAATCTGTCTTTTTCCTACAGGCCCTTGTGTGACACCGTACTTGCTTTAGTACTTCTTAAAAGCTTATGATTGAATGTTTTGTGTGCCTATTCCACTAACCCCATGCTCTTCTTGTAATGCTGTGTGACTGTAATAAGGACTTTTCCAAGTTATCACATCAATAATCTGTTCTTAATTTTTTCTTTATTTCTCTCCCCTTCATGCCTAAAAATAGAAGTGGAACAAAAAGGTAACTAAATGCCAACAACTTTTCTTTCTCATCTGCATTTTCATTTGGGCTAATGCTTTTTTAAAATTTGTTTTTGGCGGGGTGACGGGTTGCTGAAGCACTTTTCTGACATTTTGTAGGTTTGTGCTCATTGTGTGGTTCATTGGTAAGGTTGAACATGTCATTCATGGGGAAAATGAAATTGCTCATATGCCTAATGAGCAAAATCCTTTCTTTCATTTCACCCTGTGCATGCTGCAGCATCCTAAACCGTGAATATTGCACTAGACCCCTACCTTCATTCTGTGTCCTTCAACAGCATCACAGATTGATAGCTCTTTTGACATTGCCACAAATATGAGATTTCTTTAGGGTAAAGTCATTACAGAGCTGCTCTCCAGTGAAATCCAGTGACCCTGGGATGTTTTTATTCCCTGTCATAACTGAAGATTATTCCAGCTCTGCTTTATCAGCTGCATAATATTAAAAGAGAGGGCTATACGGGGTGATCAATAGGTTGTCCAATAAGCTGTCAGCATTTTTGATTATAGCTCTAACATGATGATTGCTATAACCCTCAGGGGCTCACTAGTCAATACAGTATAGCAGTCGCATTCTTACCTTATCAGCACTGCATGATGCAGCAGAACATATGCTAAATTTCCACTTGTGCCCCAGGAGCATTGTGTATTGTTACCTTTTTACATGAGCTGGAAATATGTCCTTTGTCAGACGTTAACTTTGAAAGCGGATTTAAGTCAAAGATGGAAAAGGAATTATTAAACAAGAGTCAGGAGTTCTGCTTTAACAGCTATGCAATAAATGTTAAGTTTCATAGTAGTCATTAATTAATGACATCTCACTGAAATCTGTGGCAAAGAGAATGAGCGATGAAGGTGAAAGTGGAGTTGAAAAACATTTTCATACTTTATAGAGATGACTGTGCTGCTGTGGTAACAGAGTTTGTGAAATTCCCCATGAAGGCCATGATTGCTTTTGTATCACTTCTCTAATTTTTCATTCACTCCTCCATCTTTGTGCTTACATCCTTCAGAAGCATACTTGGCATACAACCTCCTTAGAGCCCAGTGTGCTGTCAGTACAAAGCTTACCTACTCTGACCTTGTACCCTAGCACAACTCATCCTTTTCAACCGTAGGAACAGCCCTCTTAGCATTTAGCCGAGCAACCGTTGAGATGTGTGCCAAGGCTCTAAGTCAACGGGATGCATCTCGGCCCATTTTTCACCTGCAGGTAGACAACATGTTTAATCTTAAGAGATTACAAGGGAAAGAAGCCTCTGTTTTCACCGTCTCTGTCTCCTCCTTCTCCTCGGAGCGTTCAGCTTCTACCTCTCGACGGATCTGCGGCTAGAACCTGTCAGCGCTGTGTCAGGCTCCTAGCCCATTACTGTGAAAGGAGCCTTCACACACACTTTGTTTTTAAATGTGATGTACTGTGGGCCAAAACCTGTGGGAAAAGGGAAAACTGCACTGTCTCTATTCTATATATTATTCCTTTCTATCAGACATAGCCAGTATTTTTTTTTCCCTTTGCTAGTTGATGATTTCCTTTTTCTTTTTTTTTTGGTGAATATAGTAACAACATACATATGTAATTTTGTTTTATTTTGATATTCGTTTGTAGCTTTAAGATTAAAGCTAGGGTTGGGTTTCGGGTTGGGGACAGTAACTTCTCACTGTCTCTTGCTTGTCTCTTTCTCCTAAGTTGCCCCTACCCTATCTTTAAAATGTGAATTTACATGCTTAACTTATATTTATTGTTTTCCTGAATTCAGATATCAACTTTGTGGAATGACAGAAAATGATAATTGCCTCAGTGTAGGATGATCGATATTGAATTGAAATTAGCTTTTGCAAATGGTGCCCACTATTGACCTGCTCCAGCTATATTGCCTTTGCCTGGCTTTATCTGATTTGAGTACAAACCAGTTCACATTTAATTAGTTTACTGTGTGTGGTGTTGTAAATCATGCCGTAGACTAAAAATGTCATGTGGATGAAATAATGGACAGGCAGTCATTATATAGATGATGTAATTACTGTATTTTCTTGTTTTGTTTTCTTTCTACCTAAGGGCTGGCTCGGCCAATAATAGCAGCGTAGCTATTTGTCAAAATCTCTTAACTTTGGTTTTGTGTGTTTAAGAAAGTTTATGAAGAACTACTACCAGGGCGTTTTAATGTAAGAAAAGCATGAAACCTGGTGCAATTATTTTTTAATTTAGTAGATGTTTACAGAGAAGCCATTATGTAAAGGGAAGCAAGCTAAAGGAATAACATGTGTCTAAGTGCATGTGGGTGAGTCAGTCTGTGGTAAGTTTAAACAGCATCTTCTGACTTGTTTCTGCTCTACATTAAGTCAGAAGCGATAACCCTCATTTAATCTATTCACCCCTCCCTACAAACCCTACATCTGTTCGTTTAGTGACATTGTAAACTAATTGCCTTCAGGCTCAGAGACTAACAGTACGGTACAGCAGTACATAATTGAAACCAAAACAGCACTTATTGAATTTGAGACACAGTTATGAAATAATGAAAAAGGGTAGTTGTGTTTGTATATTGGCTATTTCCCTTTAAATTTGAATTTACATGCATTGAATAATCTAAAACTGGAGTAAGTGATCACATTACTAATTGCAATCTTTGTCTGACAATCAGTAATCTTTTATGCATTTAATCTAAATCTGATCATCATCATCAACATTGATGAAGAATGGTGTGGTTCAAGATCTTGGCCCTTTACAGTGGATAAGATTGAGCTGCAGATGTGAACTTTCGTGTCGTTGCATCCACTTGCTTTTTTAATTATTGATGTATAATACCTGCCAATGTAACTCTGTACTTGTCTTTCCCCTATTTTGGCTCCTCAGTATTCCTGTGCCCAGGGCTTCTGCGCAGGGTGTACCAGAGCGAGCACCTCTTTGAATCGGACCACCAGTCAGGAGCCTGGTGCAAAGACCCTCTCCAAGCCTCCGATAAGATTTACTACATGCCCTGGACACCCTATCGCACTGACACTTTGACAGAATATTCCTCCAAAGAAGACTTCATCGCCGGAAGGCCAACAACAACCTACAAGCTCCCACATCGTGTTGATGGAACAGGCTTTGTGGTCTATGATGGGGCGCTCTTCTTCAACAAGGAGCGCACGCGAAACATTGTCAAGTTTGACCTGCGGACTCGTATCAAGAGCGGCGAGGCCATCATTGCCAACGCCAACTACCATGACACATCTCCATACCGCTGGGGAGGAAAGTCCGACATTGACTTGGCTGTTGACGAAAATGGTCTTTGGGTGATTTACGCTACTGAGCAGAACAACGGGCGGATTGTCATCAGCCAGCTCAATCCCTACACATTACGTGTTGAGGGGTCCTGGGACACATCTTATGACAAGCGCTCAGCATCCAACGCCTTCATGATCTGTGGAATCCTTTATGTAGTAAAGACGGTGTATGAGGACGATGACAATGAGGCAACAGGAAACAAGATTGACTACATCTATAACACAGAGCTGAGTAAAGATGGGTTTCTGGACATCCCTTTCCCCAACTCCTACCAGTACATTGCTGCAGTGGATTACAATCCCAGGGACAACCTGCTGTACGTTTGGAACAATTACCATGTCGTGAAGTACTCTCTGGACTTTGGAGCGCTGGACAACAGGCTCGGTAAGACCAAAACATTTATACAATAGTCATACATGTTTTACTGTCATTTCCAGTACGTGGGTCATTGCAATACAGTGTTTTACAGTGGTTGCAATGTGCTAAAATGTTGTTCTACGCTATATTTAAAATGGCTTTAATGTGTTTAATTTGTTTTTACTCAAACTTACAAAAAGAATACCGTCCATATTGTCATGACATTTTAAAAGGATTTTACTGGTATAGGAAGGAGGATAAACCCTAAGAAATTTGGTGATCCAACATCGAACATCTTTCTGCTTGACCACAACAAATGCAATTAAAATTTAATAGACACAGTACCAGCTTACTATGCAAACTCCTAACTCCCCAGGGGATGAACCTAGACCTCTCCATGGCACCACCTACAAGCCAAAGTCCCTTTGAACACAAGTTATCCTTTGGCTAGACTGCTTAGAAATTTGCTTGAGATCTTCATGTTACCAAAAGAATAAATTGTTTTGCCCATAATGACCCACTTGGTCTACTCACACTCTTAGAACAAACTACATTATTAGCCTTGTTGCTTGAAAGTGCTCTGAGAAAAGCAACATTCTCAGCGTGTTGTTTGTGCCGGCCCACACTTAAGTATTGTGGGATGTAAATAACAGCTTGGCATGGTAAGCTTTTGCACTTTAAGTCTTGTTTTGTTTTTTCGTATTCATATTTTGTAGGAAAGTGCAAAAACGTAATATAAAAAGTACAGATGGGTGGCAAATTGATGGAAAAACTAAAATAAAAGAGTGGAGAAACATGTCAAATGCAGACACTTCTGTGCACCAAGGTTCACTGAATCATTTGGTAAGTATGAAAATGAACAAAATGCTATGGCCTTTACAGTCAACAGATCTCAACCTAGTTTCGCACCCATGGCAGATTTTGGACCAAAGTATAAGGCAGTGCTCTCCACCACCATTTCCATAACGCCAAACAATATGATATAAACTTTCATATTCAAATCTATTTAGTGATGTCTCTGACCCTGATGATAAATGTCATTTTGTTTTGTCTGGCTATGGTTGTTTTTCTTTCTGCTATCTATCTATCTGCTGTACTCAGGTATGTCTCACGAAAGAGATTGTGAGCTCAGTGAGATTACCTGATTAACTAAAGGTGGTATAAATAAATTAGTTCAATAGAGTTCCCCAGACATGGCAAGGAGCACTGAAGCTGATACTAAGACACATCATGTTGGATTTTCCTGTAATTGGTCACCCGTCTGTGTGTGTGTGTGTATATATATATATATATATATATATATATATATATATATATATATATATATATATATATATATATATATATATATATATATATTGTATGTGTGTGTATGTAGCACCTCAGGATAGTGTGGGTAGGCGATAATTGCCAATGGACTTCTGCTCTATGTGTTACTTCTGTACTTTTAATCACCAAAATGGAAATGAAATAAAGTTAAGCACCCACATTGATACTGTTGATAGATACTAAATAATCATTAGCATAAATCCTTCAACCTTCTAGCAGTCATATAATGAGCTTTATCAATTCTCATTTAACAATATGAGGAAATATTTGTCAGGCACAAAACAATATAAATTATAAACAATTTAACTTGAAGTCAATGACACATTGGGTGTTTTACACTGTAACTATTCCACTCTTTGTGTGTCAGCCACAAGCTTTTACTCACTCTAGCTGTTGCCTTTGCAAAAGAACAAGTGACTGCACACATTAAACTTCCCAAAAGTCTTTTGAAAAGTCTAATTTCTCCACTCCATTGTTCTTTTTATAAATTGGCGCTTGTTGAGAAGCATGAAACGGGAAAAAAAGAACCTGTTTTGACACACCAAGGTAATTCTTTGCGCTATCTCATCAACAGCTCTAGTCAAAAATGTCACAAGTTATTTGACTGTGAAGTCCCTACCTCTGCTTTCTCCTCTGGAGCTTTCGCTACCTGCCGCTTGCCAGTTTAATTTATTTTCCTTAGCTGGCTGCTACTCTACCTCAAATCTTTTTCATACACTGAGGCCTGCTTCAACACAGCCCGTAATATATTCATTCATTCAGTGACCATGCTTACATTGTTTGGTTTTGATGATACACTGCTACACTTAATACAATTTGTTGTATTTAAGGAAAGTGAAATGGTGTTTTCATGCGCTTTCTGTATTAAATGATTATCCATCACATTTTAACACGGATACTCAATGTACACACACATTCACATGCAAATGCAAATTCTCTGAACTAGACTTCCTGGAGAGATGTTGAGTAGTGTGTTTGGCTGCTGTTGTGCAGAATAGGCGGCCCTCCAAAGAGGCTGCTGCATGAATATAGATAGTAAAATGTTGCATTAAGTGGATGGATGGAGTCAACGAACAAATATAAATGTCAGATAAACAGTCTGATAAGAAATGAAAGAGTGATTGAATGGACTGCGGAGTAATAAACCGTTTCATTTGATCTACTTCGAGACCAAGACTTATTCTTGTTAAAGGGAGTGTTTTTAGCTGTGCACATTTTCCACGCACTTGTCTCTTGAGAAGCCCAATTTTGAGATAGGATAGCTAGAACAAAATGGTTTAAATCAGCGTCATTGTAGACCACGTCACTGCACACAAATTAGTCTATATTTGCTGCCAAATCACATAGTTTGCACAATTTACATGCAACTCCAGCGAGGACGCTGCTGTGAAAGAGCAAGTGTGTGGAAGGATGAGTATTTTGAAACCATTTAAACGCAAACATCCTTTACCAAGAAGGAAAGCTTGAAACAAAAGAGTTTTACTAGCTTGACCTAAAGCAACGTTATTGAATTAAAAAAGGCAACACAACTGATGACCTAAATTTGGAACTTTTGCTGTTATTCAGTGAGCCCCAAGATTTGAGTAGGTAAACCAGCAGGCTAGCGCACTATGTGGAGTCTAAAGCAAACTTTCCTTTTGCTGCAAACATAAGCTTTTGAAATTTGACTCAGTGCCGTGATCATCATGACTGTTAACAATTCCCACAAATGTTTCATTCTGTGATCGCTCTAACACAAGCTCATTTCCACTTGTGCCTCCACCTCCTTGAGCATGCATGACCTGCCATACAAGTGGAGCATGGGATATGGGCATCAGAGCAGGAGAGAAATGGCCAGGCCCCCACAGCTGGGGCCCGTGCCGGATGCCGAACCACATGGGCCAGGGCACAGCACATGCTACAGGGCAGTAGGCAGGGCTAGGGTAATGATGTAGATGCTTTTTGATCTCTTTCAGCAAAGGATATTTTAGTATTCCTTCAGTGCTTTGGTAGAAGGTAGAAGGGAGTTGTTTCTTTACCTCACCAAAAGAAAATGTGAATAACATTTTTATGATATTGATAAAAAGAAACCTATTTTTCCTGCATTTAGAATACTCCCCACAATTGGTTTAGCAGTTGCTAAAGTCTCTTCAACAGACAGAGCAATATTTTTGTCCAAGCACCCTGTTTTCAAGGACAGATGACCTATGCCAAAGAGTGCTTCCATGACAACTCCACTGATAATTATATTCACTCAATTGGTGACAAAAAAAGTGCTCCACAGTAAGCTATTAGCAGGCAGATATAAAAGCTCTCTTACCATTACTCCCCCTTACATGATCACATTCAATGCAGAATATGCAAGGACAACTGAGAAATTAATTTTTCTATGGTCATTTAAAAACATAAAAGAAGCCAGCCACAAAGCCTTACATACAGCACATACAATATTTGATTAGCCAGGAGTGTACGAGAAAATGGAACAAATTCTAGGAAAATTTGACTTTTTCCCTATCAGTAAATGTAAAATATGCAAACTCATTTACACAGGCCACAATGGCCCCTCCAGAGGGTTGTTAATCTTCCGACTGTTGTGGCAGTTCATTGTCTCCCAACTGTCTAATGACCCGGTTCTCCAGATCCACCATTTGGAGTGTTCTGGTTCAGCTCATCAGTCCAACCCACTGAGGACAAATAGTCACAACTGACGCAGGGCCTCGCAAGCAGCTCTGAGTGGAAAAAGTTGCATGAAGTTGGCGTCAAGATAGCAAGTAGTATAACTGCTACTGACCAGGCAAGGAAGGTCACAACCAGTACATCACATCATCTCAATACTTTCTTGTCACTGCTCAACAAAGCATCCACCCACCCATTCTCTTAACCACATGTACTGTTCTGTGTCATCCTGTTCTGGGTCATCATACCAGTTAAGGCCCAAGGATAATCACAAATAATATATCTAATGAAGTTTCTAGATTATTAATACCATATATACATATATATATATATATACCATAAATTTGTGTACACATTTTACATCTTTTAAATTCTGTAAAATTATCAAATATTATATGTTAGATGGCAAACAACTATTGGATGGATTGCCATGAAATTTTGTACAGATATTCCTGTTCCCTGATTAATTGTGGCAAGCATGTTAGCACTGTCACATTAGCATTTAGCTCAAAGCACCACTTTGCTTATGTGCAGCCTCAAAGAGCTGCTGGCATAGCTGTAGACTCTCAATTTTTGGTTTAGATAAGCACATTCACTTTTAGGGCTGAACAGTTAATCGAAAGTTTGTTGAAATTGTAGGAGACGCAATATTTGTTTTGTAAGGTGATGTGATGTGTGTCAAAACAGCCTACCATTTTAAATTCAATATTGCCGTGCTGCAGAAATGCCCTGGCAGTGACTGTGTTTTAACAACTCAAAAATTCAATCAGACTGAACCAAAGAATATGGAATATATCTCATATTCTGCATTGTGACACAACTGTATATGCTCTGTTTTGAGATTGCTGCATGCCACAGTCTCAGTCGAATTTACTCCAAAGTAGTTAGTAGATGGTGTTAGTAACTAAATTTAAACCAAATAAGATTCATGTGCTTGCAGTGAATTGCGCTACTGTACTGTTCCTGAAGAAATGACTCCTGGCCTCACCTTTACCAAAATAACCTCTGAGCTGTCTTCCACAGTGAGCATGAGGCACTAGCTG